AATTCCACCTAGTAGGGGAATCTAACCATAATCCCTTCCTCAAATCACAACCCGCACGTTTAGCACAATCTTTAAAATTCAAAATTCTAGCCTCAAAAGCAATTATATACTTTATTCCCTCCCTAATCTGCTTAACACTTTCATCAACCAATTTCAAGCCTTCTTGCACAATCAAATTCAAGATATGAGCAGAACATCTAACATGGAAATATTTCCCCCTACACAACAGTTGCTTCTCAAGATTAAGTTGATTTTTCAATATTTCTTGCATATTATCATTACTTCTTGCATTGTCTAATGTAATTGAAAAAATTTTCTCCTCAATCCCCCACTCTTTAAGCAAGTCATACACAACTTTATATAAATTCCTAGCAATATGGGGGGGTTGGACATGCACAAAATTCAGAATCAAACTATGCAAATTCCAATCATCATCAACACAGTGTGCAGTTAGACATAGATATCCTTGCGTTACAACAGATGTCCACATGTCACAAGTCAAACATATTCTACTAGACAGTTTTTTCAAACTCTCCTTAATCCTCTCTTTCTCCCTCTTATAAATTTTCAAGCAATGATTCTTCACAATATTCCGACAAATTGGTTTCACTTCTACATTCAAATACTTCATTAATTCCCTAACAGCTTCATGCTCAACCCAAGTAAAAGGATACGCATGCTTAATAACAACCACAGCACACAACTCTTTAAAAGTTTCTTGATCAATTTTTTTCACTAATTTTCCAGAATTATTTAACATCATCTGGAGAGGATCTTTCTGCACTCGACGAGGGCATTTCGAAACATGCCTCCTCATAATCGAAGTGCCATGAGTTCCTGTGCAGATGTATTCTTTTCCACAATATTTACATTTACCTTTTCTTACTCCATCCTTATTCTCTGAAGCATATATAAGGATGAAATGTTCCCAAACAGCAGAGGTAGAAGACCGTTCAATAGCCCCCCGTGCCTTGGATTTTGCTTGCACCTCAGCCTCGACCTCTTTCCCAAGTATAGAGCAAAAGCCAATATTGCTTGCATATTCCTTATCCTTGCCTTTATCAACATCCACTATATTCAAAATTTAAATTCATAATTAGAATTTATAACAAACTAAAAAAAATAAAAATAACATCTGTAACAAGCAAATACCAAGGAAAGGGTCTGAGTCTGATTCAGATTCTGATTGTGCAATTGCGGATAGTTTTTCAAATTGCCCATCTCCATTGCTTCTCTTCCTTTTCATCTGTGGCCATCGAAACATGAAAAAATTAAAATAGAAAAAGTAGAATTAAGGAAATACAGAGAAGAAACACAATCGTGTAAGATTAGAACATGCAACCAAACACCACCCATGGTGACCTTGAGGGCTTTAAAGAGAATTTGGTGTCGAAGAGAGTACTGTAACTTGTCGGAATCAAAGAAGAAAGGAAGAAGAGGCTGGAGTCGATGCGAGCAACGGTAAGATTTGAGAAACAGTGGAGTTGCCGAGTTAAAGCCTGAAATACCATACAGACTATGGAGGTTGCAGATCGGAGAATCTGGGGAGAGTTGGAAGAGTTAGAGTTTTTGAAAATATTAGAGGAAGAACAGGAAAGGTCGTGAAATCACTAAGATGAGTGGTGGGGTGGGAGTGGGACATTGGGAGATTTTTTTTGGCTTCTTGAAGATGGTGAGCCGAGAGAAGTAACCAATTAGGTAAAATTAGCTATTTATTAGGGATTTAGGTGAGAATGTGAGATTGAGATTTGAAAATTAGGAAATAAAATATATAAATAATAAATTAAAAAATGTTTAATTTTCAGATGGGTAAACGGGTTAAGCCCGTTAACCCGTTGGGTTAACCCGTTATTGACCCATTACCCGTCGGGTTCTTTTAACGGGTTATTAACGGGTCACGGGTCATGAACATCTGACCCTAACCCGTTTTAAACGGGTGGGTAACGGGCGGGTTAACGGGTTGGGTAAAAAATTGCCAGGTCTAGATGTGGTTTTATTTCACACCTCGGGTGGCTGGTGGTGAAGGGAGAAATTTGTTTAGTGTCGACCCTTCCTTTATAAAGGGGTGGAAAGACAAGTTTCTTTTTGTAGATGATACGGAGTAGGAGAGGTCGAATGCAGAGATGGCCGAGCTCAATAGACAGAATAGGAGGAAGGATAATCCGAACAAGTATTCATTAAGTGTGGGGGAGGGAGAGGAGGTGGAGAGGTTAGAGATGAGGGGTATGGAGGTAATGGACATTATGCACCTCACTAGCCCAGAGGTGCTGGAAGCAGCCGAGATCTATAGGCCGAGCTCATTGAGCGGAGGTTGGTTTGTATGTATCTAAGTTTATCTGAACTACAAATTTGGGTTCGAATAATTAAACTTTTCTATTTTGCAGAAGAGATGAATCGACTTTTGTCTGGAGGTAAAACCATTACTCTCCCAGAGAAGAGGTCAAAAACCCCAACTTAAGTTATGGTAGAGGAAAGGGTGAGTGAAACTTCAAGGTCTCATCCCAGCGAAGCTTGAGCTGAAGTAGGCCCTAGCTCGAAGTAGAGGAGGAAGAGGGCTGAAGAAGAGGCTGTAATCTGGAAGAGGAAGAGAGTGGAGGAAGTGCAGCCTCTTCAGATTGAGGCTCCGATTAAGTTCGTGCCTTGACCTCCGCTGATTCAAATTGACCCATTTCTATGAGAAGTGGGGGTTAAAACACGGGAAGTGGAAGGAGTCCCATATCCCCAGGCAGAAGTCAAGCTTCTTCGAGAGCACGAGCAAGACTACTGCCAAGCGTTTTATCAAATCCACTTTTCCTAAGATAGACCTCAAAAGGGCCACAGATGAGATGGAGCAAAATGGCACTTCTGGCATTCCGCGCCACATTCTCGAGGTGAGAAATGAAAATATCTGAAAATATCTTCAGTTCTCCCCCCTTTTTTTCTTTTTTTTTTTTCAACTACATCTTTTCTTGTAGACGGCAAACCTCGTGAATGGCTTAGTAATGGAATATTACAACTGTCTCAAAGAGAGGAATAGCTTGGCTAACAGAAATGACAAGCTCATCTGGCAAAAGGAGTCAGCCGAGCAAAACTTCAATGACTTAACCTTGGAGCTCGAGAAGGTTAAGGAGGAGTTAACTTCTGCCATAGGCATTGGTATAGACCCTATACTGACGATGTTTATATCGACTGAAAGTTTTTCCGTCGGAATAGTCCCTGGGGGTCTATACCAACAGAAAATGGGTCTATACAGATGGAAAACTTTCGTCAGTATAGGTACATCTCCTTGTAGTGTGAGCAACTATTTCGGGCGAATCTTGACTTCTTGGATGAAGTCCATGAAGAAGCTCGACTTCAAATACTATTTTGTAAGTAGAAGTTAGCAAACTTCTATAACAAACAAGATTAGCCCCAAAGCTTTAAGGTTGGTGACGTTGTCCGAAGAAAAGTTGGGCTGATGGGTTTTGAAATTCAGTTTGACAAGTTGACTCCAAAGTATGAGGGCCTCCTATATTGTCATTGAAATTCCTTACCCTAGCTTTTATGTGCTTTAAGACGTTAAGGGTAAAAGAGTTCCCAAACTTTGAACTATAAACAATCTAAAGAAATTTTATCTTTGAAGCGTATTAATCCATTCAATTTGTTTATCTTAATGACTTTGACCTCATTTCAGTATCTTATAGTTGTTGACCTAATTCAATTCGGTCTCTGACCATGTCCATCTGAACTTAATAAACATTGAATAACTTATGAGTTAATATATTAAATAAATAAAAGTATATATACAAATAAAAACATCAAATTTTAGACAAATTGCAAATTGTTCGAATTACAAAATTTCGAAACAAGCTACCAAGGTCAACCTAATATATGATTTGATGCTATTGGTCCACCTCCTTAGTTTAGACATTGTCCACTACCTCAACATCTCTCGGCACCTTGACCTCATCCTCGTCAATGGCAATGGACTCATACTTAAGCTTTGAAGGGAAGATAGTCCACCCAGCTTTGTCTTGTTCCCATTTCAAAGTTACCTCAAGGCGGAACTCGGTAGTCTTACTTTCCCATCCTCCTCCACCCCTTCCTCCTAAGGTTCGAACAGTACGCTGGTAATGTCCACCTCATGATGTTGGGCCTTTACCCCCTTTTTTTTCGCAATTAATAAAGGCCATCACCAATGTAGGAAGACAATAGAGGCCCACAATCTCTAAGAACGTCCCTGACTTGACAAAGCTTGAGACAAGCTACTCCATGGAGTTATAGACCTGCAACTCAACCTATTTTCGAACCTTATCCAGCTCAGTATCTTGCTTGGGCAGTTCATCCTCACAAACTTTCCTCGTTTGCTTAGCAAGTTCGACTTCCTTCTTTACAATAGCCAACTCCTCTCTTACTTTTTTTGAGCTCGGAGGTCAAGCTATCAAAGTTTTGCTCTGCTACCTCCTTTTTCTTGCTAAGCTCTTCATTCTTTTTCACTAGCTTGTTACACTCCTTAAAACAGTCCAAGTATTTGCTTGCTAGAGGTTTAAGAGATTTGCTGTCTACATTAAACACTAAAGTCAAAAAAAAAAAAAAAAAAAGGAAAAGAAGAACTAAAAAGGGTTTCAGGTTTTAAACTTTCAACACTCATACCTCAAAAGTGTGCCAAACCACATTAGAGTCTACCTCATCCCTCGCTCATCTCAAGTCCACCTCTGGGAAGGTGGAGTTAATAAAGTGCTTGGTAGTAGTCCTACTGCTCGAATCAAAGAAGCTAAACCGTTGCACTGCAAAAGGCACAGTACTCTTCCCCCTCCCATGTGTTACTAACCCCAACTCCTATACAACAAGATCAATTTCAACTGGTGGAGGTCAGGGTACGAACCCCATTGGCACTTCCTCTGATGGCTACTGCACCTCTTCTGTCCTCCTCCTTTTATAGGTAGCAGCCCCTTCCTTAGCTCCCCTCTGGGTTAGCTTTGAGTTGGGCCTGGAAGCCTGAACCACTCAAGCACCAAGTATAGTAACTCGGGTGCCCAAGGTCCATGCTCCAGTCCGCTCTTCTACCTCGGTTGCCACTAGAGCTTTAAACTTCTTCTTTTGAAAGGTGACATTCCTAACTCTAAATAAAAGACGACTTATCCCCTTTATAAATAAAAGGATAGTTAAAACTTTAATCAGAGATGTACTTTTAACTAAGTAGAAGTCAATTAGACACACCTCTACTCAATGAGCTCCTCCCATATATCGTAGCTACATCAATCATTTCCAAGCTTGTCAGGTGAATGATATCCACCACCTCTTCACCCACCCTTATTAACTTCTCCACTTCCTCCTGGTCACCCTCACTCAATTTGTACTTATTGGGCTGGCCCTCTTCGTTTTCCATTAACACAGAGCCTCCACCATTGCATTGGACATCCCCAATTGAGCATCATCAGTGAAGAAAAACTTATCTCTCCACTCCTTGATGGAAGATGGACCTAAGTTGAAAATAAACCTGTTTTGACCTCTACCAACCTAGAGTATAAAGTAGAACCACCTCATCTCCTTATTATTCCTACCTTTGATTAAGAAGTGTTTGAACAGATACAAGGTTAGGATTATCACACCTTGTATTCGACAATATATTAAAAATCCTATCACCAACCAAATTGCGTTAGGAACAAGTTGAGTCATACCAAAACCATACTCATTTAGCAACGCAACCAACAGCCCCAATATTGGAAATCTGAGCCCGACCGCCATATAGTGTACATATAAAGGCATCTAGTGATCCTTGGGAGCTGAACAAGCTCGTTCTTATTCTTTAGGTGATCTCAACAGGACATGAGACGGGATCCTATAGTTAGTCACCACCTTAGGCTTCTTCTCCTCTTCCAAGAGGTCTTGTAACCTATCGCCTCATAAACAATTCCCTCTCTCACATCAAAACACTTCAGCCTTTCATCATCAACCTCCAAAATATTTGAGGGGATGTCTACCTCCTCCTCTTCCTTCTTCTTCAGGTTCCGATTTGGGGGTTCCAGGTTCTGAACTGGCTCCTCGACAGCTGGAGAAATCTTCTCAGAAGGAGACAGCGAATGTTGCTCAGCTTGTATCTCTTCCAGGACAGCTTCCATAATCTCATCCGCGAACAAATCCAGTTTGTCATTCAGATTCCCACTCAAATCTAGCCTGGACTTATCACATAGAATGCCCCTGCTAAACAGATGTCAAGCTACAGGGCTAACAGCTTTTTGCACCATAACTAGGGTTGAAACCTTCTTGCAAATATAGTTTTTTTATCATCCTAAAAATTTAGATTTCTTAAAATGTATTGTTCATTATTATTGTTGTTGTTAGGAATTGTCACAATCTACCTGCTATGATTTTTCTAACAATATGAATTACCTTCTAATATTTCTTTAGATATCAGATGGCTAAAGGAATTTTTGAAGACCTGGCACAGAAGTCACTTAATGGTATCCTAAAGGATTATAAACTTGCAAAAAATCTTCTTAATGCTGGCATTTGCCTTCTTGGCGAAGGAAATATTATTGCAATGACTGCTGCATTGAAGAAATATCAGGTCTATTTTTGGCTCGTCTTGCATCTTGACATTTTTGACATTTTATCTTAGGCTGTTTAGGCTAAATATTTGTTGAACATGCTTCTGCAGAATCTGGATCCATCCTTTTCAGGAACAAGAGAAGGCATATTTTTGTCCATAAGTTTCATTGAAAAATCCGTTCTGTATTTCATTTGCTTGCTATTCCCAGTTTCCCTACTTTCTGGCTACTTCATTTTTAGTTTTTGTTTTATTGTTAATGTTACTGCCTGTATTTGATTTGTTTTCTTGCATGCATGCTCAGGCACTGCTACTTGAGCTGGTGCATAACTATGCTGCCCCTAGATGGAACATTTCCTTATTAACCATTTGATTTGTTTGCATTGAATGGTGAAAATGTTGATGATCTTGTTTTCTTCCTTTCTTGGGCACAATGGACCTTAGTAAGCTTATATTTCTTGTGGCAGCGTGCTTTCATTTATTTTGGGAAAGCAGATGTTGCAACCTTCACATCTGCAGTAAAGGAATATTCTAAGCTGACTGATCTGGTAGGCGTCAAATCTTGCATTCCATTTAGTTTATATCAATCCTATGAAAAAGATTAGCCTATATATACAATTTTGAATAGGATTCTTATCTTAACATAAGGGAACCCTACTTATCCTTTGAGCTCGGTTTTAGTCCCCATTGACTGAAGTGGTTGCTATATGCACAAATGGAATGTAGGAGGAATGGAGAATAAATTTGTTCAAAAGGGTGGAGGACAAGCTTAGGGCCAGAGAGATGGAGCTGAAGGCCAGAGAGATGGAGCTGAAGGCCAGAGAGATGGAGCTGGAGCTGAAGTCCAGAGAGATGGAGTCTTATTACATTACAGGAGCCTGATATTTTTGTCAACCCTGTCTGCCATGCAGTCTTCGTCCAAAATTACCCTGCCGATAATTGTAGTGAATATTGGACCGTTCATATCTTCCCATTTTGCCATTGAAATAAAAGATATGGAACTCCACCAAGTGGCTTGGTGGCTGCTCGCCTCAGTGGAATCGGTGGGTTGTTCCTCAGTTGTTTATTTTTAACAATATTAACTTACTAATCATTGTTTTTATCAAAAAAAATAAAATATCATCATTTTTTTTATATCGTACTAGATTTATCATTATAAATATATGTTTTTATAAATTAAATTTTAAATTTTAAAATAATTATAAAAAAATTAATATTTAAAATTATTATAGTTTTATAAATTAAAGATAAATTTAAAATAATTAATTTTATAAAACATTTATAATTTTTTTTATATTAATATAATAATTAAAAGTATAACAACATCTTTTAATGTAAAAAAAAAAAAAAAAAACTCCTCCTCGGTGAGCTTATCTCAATAAAAAAGAGCTTCATGTTTCAAGAATACTCTTTGACTCTTTGTACATGTCCAAATTCAAAAAAAAAAAAGGATTCCAAGTAAACATTAGGCAATACCAATAGGCTTGCGCCTAAGTCAACTTATTTCACTATGTACAGCACCATTTTTGTTAAATCATACTCAGAATCTAAGCATTTAGCATTTCAATTAAGTCCCAAAGAACATAATACCCATCTAAAGACTCACACCCCACCCAGAATTCCTTTCTTCACGACAGACTAACATCACCTAGAAGTCTAGAACTACGTTTCAAAAGTGTGTTAACTATGAGTTCTAAAACGAAGAAGGAAGTGAAAAAAAAACGATCTTGATGGTCACTAGCAGATCAACCAATCTACAGACCGCAGAAGAAGTAAAAAAAAAAAAAAAAGGGGAAAAAAGTTCAAGATATTGGTGGGGAAACGGTACCCAAGAAACCGATTTGGAGAGGGTGGCAAAGGTGAAGCAGTGATCGGGGTTGATAGTGAGTTTGGTGTGGATAAAGAGAAGGATGTCCTGCTTGATCGCGTCCAATCTGGTGAACGGCTTCCTCTTGGCCCCCGGGGTTTTTATTTCCAAGAGTGACTCTGCATCGACATCGATGCAGAATAGTATGTCCTCATTGTTTATCCGTTCCGGTTTAAGCATTTATCGTCCTCCTCCTACCCAGCGGCGACGGAGCCAGCTCCCTCTTTGCCAATAAGGACCGAAGAAGTGGAAAACTGGAAATCTGAAATGTAGGTTCAGAACCCCATTCAGAACGACGTCGTTTTGATTGTAATTCATTTTTTAATTAACATATTACGTCGTTTTGACTGGAATTCATTTTTTTAATTAGCATATTGTACCGGTTGAAGTTTGGTGTACCGGTACACCGAAATATCGGTCGTACAACTGTGTGCCGTACTGTGGTCTTTCTCTCTGTCCTTTATTGGCAATTTGCAGTCCTTGATTTGTTTTCTTTTTTCCATTTTTCTTTTAACATCTCCCCTGACGATTGGAAATTAGTGCACTAGCAATCTCTCAGCTTTCTTAGTTTTGTTTGATAAGCTGCAGATTTTGGCTGCAGTTGAATTCCGTTTTTGGCACAATTACTTGCTCTAAGCTAAGAACAACTTACTTCTAAAAAGTTTTAAACTTTAAATTCTAGGCTAAGTATTAGTGGGTGCATTCGCAATTTGAGTTGATTGGTGATTAGTCTATAACAGTTCTGAATTTAATTCAATTGATTCTAATTCTTTTCTCCTACAGGATGGTTCTAATGCGGTATTCAAGAGAAACCCTCCTGCTTCTGAAAATCTTCTTGCTGGATCTCATAAAGGTAACAGGGGTTCTGCCAAAATGTTGTCTCAGAACATGGACGCTTCCCTCCAGTGGAAGCCAATATTCTAGGGCTCCTGCATGATTTTGTCAACCAGTTTCTATCAAAAGGATATAATGGTATGTACTTTGAGTGGTTATGGAAATGATGATTTATCTTGCAACATCCCCTTTAACTGATTAACTCTTTCTTTTCTTTCCTTTTCCCTTCTGATATTTAATACTTATGTTGAAACCAAATTCATGTCAGCTTTGATGGAGTCTATTCATGAGGACATCGAGAAGGAACATCGTGCAATTCAAAATGATGTGCTGTTGTTTTCTTCAAGGTTGCTAAACTGCTTGATTACTTTCATGATCATGAGAATTTTTTTTTAAAAAAAAAAAATTATTTAGTTCTTTTCCTTCTTTGAAGATAGGGGTGGGCATTCGGGTGAGTAACAAGAATGGTTACTCGAAAACCAAATTGAAAAAATGAATTTGGTCTGATTTTAATGGTTTTTAAGTTTTACTGTTTTGATTTTAATATTAATCAAATAAATTTTGGTTCAATTTCGGTTAAACTTTTTACAAATCAAAAATAAAAAATAAGTTTCTTGAAAATTGAAATTTCTATAAATATAATAAAATATGAGATAAAATATAATTTATAATTAAAAAATTAATTAATATTTATTTAGTAAAAATCAAAATTGAACCAATTTATTAATAATCAAACTAATCGATTTGTGAAAACTTCAGTTTGTTTCAATTCTCAAAATTGAAGAAAATTTTTTTTGGTTATTTACAACAAGGTTTTTAAAATCGGACCGGACCGGCCGGTTGAATCG